CGTGCCTCGCGGCGACCCCTGCTTGTGCCCGGCGTCCTCCTCCCGGGAGACGTCAGCTGTGCCCTTCCTTTGCTCAGCCCGCACCGTTTCTTTCCGCTTGCCCTGGGCGTTTCTGCCTTGTGGACTTTTGCCCTCGGGCTGCTGCCCAGGGTGTCCTTCTCCTCCAGCCTCGCTGGCTTTCCCAGGCTCCCATGCTGGGCTGGCCCTCTGCCTCGGGTGGCTGCCCTTGCCGCTCTCCTCTGCGCCTCGCTTGCCTGTGGCTGTTGCTGTGCTGCAGTCCTCCCCTCCTCCTTCCCAGCCTTTCCCCCTTCCCCCCGTCTGTCCCCTCACGGCTATCCCCCCGTGAGTGCCGCTGTCGATTTCCTGTAGGTGGGTCCAGCGTCTCCCCGCTGCGTGAGCCGGCCCGGTGCGCGCGCCTTTCCGACCTTCTCTGCGCCGCGACGCAGCGCACGTGACCGCGACGCCAAGCCAAGTGCGCGTGTGTGTGTGTGTGTGTGTGTGTGTGTGTGTGTGTGTGTGCGCAGGGAGCTGCTGCTCCCTGCGTCCACACGCCACCCCTCCCCGGGCCCGCTACCGACGTGGTCGCGCAGCTCGCCTCACTGCAGTGCACCAGTTCGGTGCGTCCCCCCCATCGCCCCGCTTGCGGGCCCGCCCCCCCGCGACTGCCGCTCACACGGCGGCGCCGCAGTCACGCTGCGGCCTGCCCGCGCCGGGCCGCTGCTTGCTGCCCCGCTTAGCTTCTCCCTGGTCCAAGCCCTCGGCTGGAACGCCCTGGTCCAGGACTGCGGTTGGAGCCAGCTGCCTTCCCCCAGCCCTCCCCCCCTGTGGATCGGCTGCCACCGTGCCTTCTGCCTGGCTCGCGGACGCGGCCCTCCCAGGTCGGGCACCCGTGAGTCTTCGCGCGACGGTGGGTTTTTGCGGCTCTGCTTCCGGCAGGCCCGCACAGCTGGCTCGCCGGCTGATCCGGCCATCGGGCACTGGGCTGGTCTTGCCGCCCTGCCCCGCCCCCCTCCGCCTCGGGCGTCGCCCGTCGTACCACCCTCTCTGGTGTGCGCTCTCTCTCTGCCTCTGCCCCGCCGTCACCCACGAAGGGTGCGGCGGGCCACCCCTTTTCCTTCGGCTGGGGCGCCCTCGACCCCGCTGGCTGACGCTCTACCGGCCCGATTGGGGACATAGGGCGTCGCCTCTCGTGGGGCGCCTCAGCATGCCTCATCTTGAGCTAGCGGGTGGGCCGCTTTGTGTACCCACAGCCCCACCTCGCTGCGGGTTCTTTGCCTTGACGTCGCCTGTTCGGTGCCCCCCCCTCTCGCTGCCTCCTGCCAGCCTCCGCGGCCCTCCGCCATCTCCACCCGCCTTGGGGCGTCGTGGCCTTTGCGATTTGCCGCCGCTGCGCTTGCCTGCCCTGCGTAGCCCAGGCCACCCTCCGTCTTGGAGATGCCTGCTTTAGCCGCCACCGACCGCCACGTTGGTCACGTGTGACCTCGGCTTCCTTGGTGCGTTGGCTCTTCTGCAGTTCGTGCTGCCTCGGACTGTCCCGCCCCCGCGGCCCCCGCCCTAGGCAGGGCCGTCCGTGGCCCCCCCCGACAGCGCCCCCGCCCCGCCCGGGGCCTGGACTGGTCCTGCCGCCCGCGCCCTGCCCCGCTCGCCTCCTTGCCTTGCATGGTTTTCAGGCCGGCCCCTCCTCTCGAGGCGGTCTCGGCACTGGTCGCCGCGGGCCCGGGTGCTCTCGTGGCTTGCGCTACCTCGGTTCCCGCTGGCCCTTGGCGCTGCTCGCGCACCTTCGCCTCCAGCCGCTGCCGGGCACTGTCCCCCTTGCGCGGCCTGCTGCCTGGCGGCCTGTCGGGCTTCCCCCCGCCCAGCCGCCACTCCGCTGCTGCTGGCCCCCCCGCCCCCAGCGCCACCCCGCCGCCGCCTGCCCCTGCTCTGAGCGGGCCCGGCTTACGTCTCCCCCCCGCCGGGTGGGCGCCTCCCCCTCTTCCCCTCGTGCATCGCGGAGTGCTTAATTCGCGGTCGTGTGCCCTACCAGTGCTTATCCGCCAGCGCAGTCCCTCTGCCTCGCCGCCGACGCAGCAAGTGTGTGTGTGTGTGCGTGTGTGTGTGTGTGTGTGTGTGTGTGTGTGTGTGTGTGTGTGTGTGTGTGTGTGTGTGTGTGTGTGTGTGTGTGTGTGCGTGCGTGTGTGTGTGTGTGTGTGTGTGTGTGTGTGTGTGTGTGTGTGTGTGTGTGTGTGTGTGCGTGCGTGTGCGTGTGTGTGTGTGTGTGTGTGTGTGTGTGTGTGTGTGTGTGTGTGTGTGTGTGTGTGTGTGTGTGGGTTCGTGTGTGTGTGTGTGTGTGTGTTCGTGCGTGTGTGTTCTCACAGGCCGCCCGCGCCCGCTTGGCCCATGGGCAGCTGATCCAGCGGGGTCCCGCGTCTGAGGGCCCGGCCGCGCGCGCTTGGTTCCGTGCTGCCTGCTCGACTTGCTCCGCCTCGTTGCTGCGCGCGAGGCCGCGACCGCCAAAAAGTGTGTGTGTGTGTGTGTGTGTGTGTGTGTGTGTGTGTGTGAGGGTGTGTGCATGTGTGGAGGAAGCCCGCGCGTATCGAGCACCATGCTTCAGAAACCCCCACGTGTGTGTGTGTGTGTGTGTGGATTTCCACGTGTGTGTGTGTGTGTGTGTGTGTGTGTGTGTGTGTGTGTGTGGAATCCCATGTGTGTTTTTGTGCGGAACTACGTGAGGTTCCAACGGCCGTTGCGTTCGGGATCGCATGGGACACGGCCCGACCCCGCTTTCCAGTGCCAGTTCTTGAGAGCGCGAGCTAGAGCCATTTACTCGCAAACGCTGTCTGGGGAGCCATGTTTTCTTCTTTGTTTAGGTTGTCCCATATTTGCTCTGAGCTATCTGCTCGCCTTCCTCAGGTCTCCACCATTATCTCTCTTCTCTGTCGTGGCGTCTCCGTGTGCTCATTTCTCTGCTCCGTGCTCTCTTCTCCCTGGTCTCCGTCCTCGGTTCCAGTTGTTGCTTCTCATTTGTCTGCTTGGAGCTCGATGTTCCCAGGTTGCCCACTGCTTTCCGTTCCTCGGTCTTTGTATTCCGCTCTCCGCTCTCCGCTCTCTGTTCCCCATTAGACGGTAGTTATCCATTCTCCGTTCTCCGTTTTCTTCTCTTTCCTCTGATCTCCCTATTGTTTATAGTCTTGTCCCAGTATACATTCTTACTAATATCTGCGGGCCTTCTTCTCCGATCTCTGAAGTTTTTTCACCAGCTCATTTGTTTCCACTCTCGCTCATCGCCACTGCGTTCCTCTCATCACCACCTGATAATATTTTGCGTCAAGCAAGATCCTGCAATTTCTGCTGCGCAATGCAATATTGTCGGTTAGAATGGCAGAAGTTTTGTCAGATGTTAAGACGATGCAGGAACGCATCCGATCCATTGGCATGACTATTGCATGCAGGGATGCTGAGAGCTCTGATGTCGGGTCTGTGGACCAGGACCTGGAGGAACAAATCGCGTCTCTTGGGCTTTTCCCGTACAAAGCTCAAGACTGGACCTTGCGGCATTTCCCACCAGAGCTTCATTCAGAATGTGGCTACGGCCTGGGCATGTGGCAGTACCCGAATCAAATACTGCCGCTTATGATTTTGCTCCACAAGTACCGTGTGCAGAGCTATCTTGAAATCGGTGTGGCTGCAGGTGGTACTTTTACCTTTCTGTGTGAGTTGCTGGCGCTCTGGAATGCACCTGGGACTTTTCGCGCACTTGGCTGCGATCCAGCGCCACCTGGGTGCGTCTCGTACTTGATGGAGAATCCTTACCAGAAGCGCTTCGTTCAGTGGCTCGCAGAGTCGCCAGGCGTCAGCTACAAAAAACAGTTTTCAGAATTCTTGGAGCGGAGCTGGCAGCGGGAGAATGTACCATCACAAACGTTCGATTGTGTATTCGTGGATGGCGACCACAGCTATGAGGGCGCTTGGGCAGACGTGCAAATGGCGTTACGTTTGCAGGCAGGGATCATCATTCTGCATGACGTTGTCAATACTGAGTGCCCTGGTGTGTGCCAAGCTTGGGAGGAAGCTCAGCGCTCTCTCGAAGAAGACTTCGATTTCTTTGAGTTCTCTGCCCAATACGACAACGTCAAGCGCGAACCTGGCGAGATGTTCTTGGGTATTGGTGTGTGCGTGCGAAAATCAATGCCACTTCGTTGTGCTGATGGGGACAGCGAGGCGGGAAGTTCGTAGATCATGCCAACCCTGCTTGGCAGGGGTGTCCACGATTCGATCGATTCGATTCCTCCATGTTCGTTTCTTTCGTTCGGTCCGAGTCGATCGATTCTATCGGCTCGATTGCTTCGACGGGCTCTGCCGATTTCGGCGTGAGCTGTCCGATTCTGTTGGATTTGAGTTTGCTTCCGGTACGATTTGTTTTGATTATAACGTGATCGTGGAGATCCTCGCTGAGTGCGGCTGCTGTTGCAGGCCTGCAATCCTGTCGGGTTCCAGGTGCGCTTTGTGGTTCCTGGTGGGAGTCTGCTTTGCCCACAGTTGGAATTTTGCAGTAGTCTTGTCTGCCAGGCGGCTGGTCAGTACGGCGATTTGATCTGCCCGAGGAAAAGATATATGCACACAACTATAGGTCACTGGTTATTCGGCTGCGTATTGTAGGGCGTATGAGGTTTAGAGGACGTTTCAAAACAACCATATTCAGTTATGTGTATTTGTTCATGTGTGTAGATCTGTATGCCGACGTATAGAGATATATCGATAAACCAACCTACATATACATATATATATGTACACATGCACACCAAGTTGAATTAAGCTGTCAGAATATTCATTTCCCTATTCATAGAGAGCTGATCTGCCCAAACTCCAGGCCCGACCAGGGAGGCTAAGTTTTGGGCGCCCAGGGATAGCTCAAGACGTCCCAAAAGTTCACAAGAAGGCCCCAAGTGAGCCCGAAGTGACTCCCGAGACAACCGAGACGGGCCAAATACGGCCCAAGATGACCGCGACGGCCCCAGGGGGCCAGAAGAGAGGAAACCCCAAGACGCCCAAAAGAGACACACATCATTGATTTCCTATAGGCTTGTGGCTCGCCCTCTCAGTCTTCCAAGCCTCCATGACGGTCCAAGAGGCTCCAAAGCTCACCCAACTATGGCCCACGACGCGCTCTCGATTGTTTCAAGAGGGGCTGAGGAGGGGCCGAAGACGGCTCAAAAGGGGTCCAAAATAGCCCGAGAGGACCTCAAGACGCCCCAAGAGGTCCGGACAGCCGACGAGGAGAGCTCCAGCACGGCCCAGCAGGGCTACCAATTCAGCCCGAAGAGACCTCCAAGATTGTCCAGAGGGGCCCGATGCGGCCCGAGAGGGTTCCAGAGCGACCTAACAGGCCCCCCGGACAGCTTCACAATTGCCCCAAGGAGGGTCACAGGCCAGCCCTTTTCGCAACACTGGATTCGTACGGCGTCGGCCAGATAATCAACATATTAGACACGAGTATGTACATATATTTGCGTATGCATCAGAACATGTTTATGTTTATGCTCATGTATATACATAATTACATACATGTATCGTATATGTTTATGTTTATGCATGTATTTATGTATGCGTGCATACATGTGTATGTATGTGCATGTGTATGTGTATGTGTATGTGTATGTGTATGTGCATGCGTATGTATAGGTGTATGTCTGATTCTGTGTATGTGAATGTGTTTGTGTTCGAACATCTGCTTTTGCATGTACAATTGGCTTTGTACATGTATATGTTCATGTATGTGTATATATATATTTGCATATTTGTATTTGTAGATGTATTTGATCATGTCCCTGTCTATATATATGTATATGCATATGTATGTGTACATGCATATGTGTTTGCACATGTTTTGGTATGTGTACATGCTTTATACATGCTAGAACCACGCGAGCGCTTCGCGCGCGCTTAGGTTCTAGCCGTGGCCACGGAACAGCTACGAAGACGGTATGAGCAGACACAGGTCCAAGTATATGGCGTTAGCCCAGAAATCCGACCTCCTCCCCGTCCTCCTCCTCCCCCTCCGCCTCATCCTGCCTCTCCGCCCCCTCCTCCTCCCCCTCCTTCCCCCCCTCCTCCTCCTCCTCCTTTTCCTCCACCTCCTCCTCCTCCCCCTTTTCCTCCCCCCTCTCCTCCTCCCTCCTCCTCCTCCTCCTCCTCCTCCTCCTCCTCCTCCTCCTCCTCCTCCTCCTCCTCCTCCTCCTCCTCCTCCTCTCCTCCTCCTCCTCCTCCTCCTCCTCCTCCCCTCCTCCTCCTCCTCCTCCTCCTCTTCCCCTCCTCCACAATTACTCAATATGAATACTACTCTCCTCCTTCCCCTGATGACGGGTTGGGAGTGTTCGCCCCCCCCCCCGCGATTGTTTTTTACACACAGGATTCCCCGGAGTTGGGTTTTCGCCTGCATTTTTTTTCAAAATGCTGCTCTCGCTGAGGCGCCGGCCTCATTTTCGGGCCCCGCTCGTTCCGAATCGTGCTCCCGCTGCAGCGCTGGCCTCATTTCCGTGCTTCCGCTCGTTCCGAATCGTGCTCCCGCTGCAGCGCTGGCCTCATTTCCGCGCTTCCGCTCGTTCCGAATCGTGCTCCCGCTGCAGCGCTGGCGTCATTTCCCGTGCCATGCCACGGCATGCAATGCAATGCTAGGTTGCGTTCCGCTGCGCGATGCCATGCCTTCAGCTGAAGCTGTGATATGCAGTGCTTCAGTGCTACGTCGTGCTATGCCATGCTACGCTTTGTTCTTCCACGCCATGCTATGCAATGTTATGTTCGGGGCCGCTGTGCGATGCCATGCTTTGCGTTGCAAGGCTTTGTGATGCAATTCTCCACTACGCCACGCCACGCCATGCTGTGACATACTACGCTTTGCGGTGCTCTTCTACGCCATGCCATGCCGTGCTCTACAATGCATCGCTCGCGTACCTTTCCGGGATCATTGCCCTGCTCGACATCCGACTGTGCGAGTAGAGAGGGGATCTACGCCATGGTAAGGGATGGGAGGGAGGGGTAAGATCAGATATGACGCGAGCGCACCTAGCTTGTCCTCCCCCCCTCCTCCCCCTCCCTTCCTCCCCCCCCTTTCCCCTTCGGAATCCTCCGACTCGTCGTTGTCCTCCTCCTTATCCTCCTCCGCCTCCTCCTCCTCCTCGTCCTCCTCGTCCTCCTGTTCCTCCTGTTCCTCCCCTCCTCCTCCTCCTCCTCCTCCTCCTCCTCCCTCCTCTCCACTATCATCCTCCTCCATATTCTCCCCCCCCCTCCTCCCCCTCCTCCTCCTTTTCCCCCCTCCTCTACCTTCTCCGTTTCCTCCTCATCTTCCTCATCCTCCTCCTCTTCCTCGTCCTACTCATCCTCATCCTCCTCCTTCCCCCCTCATCTTCCCTCCTCCCTCCTCCTCCTCCTCCTCCTCCCTCCTCCTCCTGCTCCTCCTCCTCCTCCTCCTCCTCCTCCTACTCCTCCCCGTCCTCTTCCTCCTCCTCTTCCTCCTTCTCCGCCCGCTCCTCGTCCTCCTCCTCCTCCTCCTCCTCCTCTCCCCTCTTCCTCCTCCCCCTCCTCCCCCTCCCAAGGCACTCGACGCTGGGATTTGTTCTCAACGTGGGCCCAGAATATCCGGACGACTTCCTGGGGCCGACTGTTCATCCCGACTTTGTTTTACGGTCCCAGGGCCCCGCAAGGGCCCCCTGGAGGCTGGAACTTGTGCAAAGCTTCCCGTCGTGTTTTTTGTCCCGACGCGAGGTGGGATCAAAGAAAAGCGACACCACCACCACCACCAGGGCGAGGAGCCAGGGGATGCCCCCTGGTGGTGTGGCCACACCTCCCCGCTCGAGACATCCCCGACCTCCAGCTTGAAGGGGCATCGCGGACCTTCTCGATGAAGGTGGCTCCCCTGGTGGTGGTGGTGGTGTCGCTTCTCCTTCCCCCGAGCGAGGGGGACTGGGTCCTGCACTCTGCCCCAGGCCTCAACGGCCTCCGGACGGGAGGCGCCCGCCCTCGAGGGCGGCGCGGCGGGCCCGACGCGACGCCGACGGCGCTCCCTCGGGGCCTCTCTCCTGCTGTGCATTCTGGGGGAGCCGGTTTCGGGCCCAGGGGCCATCGAAAAATAGGAACTGGGCCAGGGAGTCTCCTAGGGGCTTTTTGGGGCCGAAGGCCCGGAAGGTCCGTTCGGATTCCCTGTCTGGGCCCCTTCTTAGAGCCATTCTTGGGGCTATCTTGGACCGTCTTGGAGACCTCTTGGGCTGCTTGGGTCCCTCTCGGGCTGTCTTGGGGCCGTCTTGGGAGCCTCTTGGGCCGTCTTTGGGCGATCTCGGGAGCCTCTTCGGCTATCTTGGAGCGTCGGGAAGCCGAAAAGGTGAGAACCACAACCAATCCTGGAAAACCCTCGAACAACAACCATGTTTTGCCTCTTGTGGCCTCTTGGAAAAGCCTCTTGGAGGCCTCTTGGGGTGTCTTGGAATCCTCGTGGGCCGTCTAGGGACCATCTTGAGCGTCTTGGACTCATCTTGTGGCGTCTCGCAGCCCTCATGGACATCTTCGGTGCTTCCTGGGGCCGTCTGGGAGGCCTCCTGGAGGCCTCTTGGGCCGTCTGGAGGCCCCCTGGAGGCGCCAGGGCGGGGGTGTCAAAAAAGGGGTCCCGAAGGTTTTGAGGTGGGAGGCCCCCCCGGGCTGGGGACATGGTATTCGTCCATTATATACACGTTTATAGATAAAAATAGAAATATGCAAATGCATATGTACATTCATACACATGTATATGTACATGTATATGTACACGTACAGGTGTATGTATTGGTATGTGTCTTTGTTTGCGAACATGTGCATGATTATGTATATCCATATGCTTACGACATGTTGGTGTATGTGTTTGTGCATGTGTATATGTACATGCATATTTATTCGTATATGTGCATATTTATGTATATGTCTGCGTATATGTACAACCATATGTATAAGTACATGTTCATGCACATGTCTATGCACGTGTATTTGTATGTTATTATGAATGCATATATGTATGTGTATATGTATATGCCTAGGTGTCTGTATGTGTATTCACTCATGCATATGTGTATATATATATATATGCATGTAGGTATACGCACACGTAAATGTACACATCTGTGTGTACGTATATGTTTAGGTAGTTGTATCCGTATATGTACAGGTGTATGCAACTGCATATGCATATGTATGTGTAGTTGTACAGGTATACGCATTTGTTTTGGTTTATGTGCGTATTTACGCATATGTATACGTACATGGATTTTGGTCTGGATATTCACATGGTATGCATATGTATATGCATATGTATGTGCATATGCATATGTATATGCGTATGTATATGTATACATATATGTACATGCGTATGTATACGTATGTGTATATGTATACGTATAGGCGTATGTATATGTACATGTATGTGTACATGTACATGTACATGTACATGTACATGTATGTGAATACGTATATGTATTTGTATATGTATAGGTATATGTATCTGCACATACATATATACACACGTGTATGTATTTGTATATGCGCATGCATATGAGTAATCATACTGCTATGTATCAGCATACGCGTTTGCATATGAATATGTGTATCGTCAGATTCTTACATATATATATATATATATAGACTGGGACCCGGCGAATCCCCCCCTAAACGGGACCCCTCCGAATCCTTGGCCGCAGGGCCACCCTTGACGGCCTTGCAGACGGTCCTCTGTGCTTTCCGGGGCTCCTGAAGCCCTCTGGGCCTGGGCAACGGGCCCAAATCGGTCAGGAGGGCGGCCGGACGGCCCCGCTAGAGCTCACAGAGGCCCCAGACACCCACCAGATGCTCCAAGACGGCCGAAAGAAGACCCCCAAGAGGCATTCGAAACGCAAAAAACATTGATTTCATATGGTTTCTGTATGATGTTGGGAATGCTCAATTCTTCGGTCTTCCGGGCGTCCGAGACCGCCTAGGAGGCCAGATAATCGCCCTATATTTGACCAAGAGGGCCTCCAGGCAGCCCAAGAGTAGCCCCTAGACGGCCCAACAGGGCCCCAAGATGGCCCGACGAGAGCCCCTTGAGCTCAACAGGGCCCCAAGATGGCCAGAAGAGAGCCCCATGACGGCCTAAGATGGCCCCAAGACGCCTCCCGAATAATTTCAAATCGTGACCCGGTCGTCCAGGGAGACCGCGGTTGGAAGCAGGGTGGCCCGGGGAAACCCCCAGAAGACCCCAGAAGGGACCCAGGAGGCTTCCAGAAGAGACCCAGGAGGCTTCCAGAGGGCCGCGCGCGCATCTCGCGAACTCCGAGGGGGGCGGGGCAGCACGCGCGCGGGACAGGTACAGGTTCTTGGGAGCCTCGTGGGACCTCCTGAAGGCCCCTCGGGGCCGAGGGCTCGACAGGTCCGCTCGGGCCTCCCATCTGGGTCCCTTCTTGGAGCCGTCTTTGGGGTCTCTTGGACCGTCTTGGGCGCCTTTTGGGCCGTTCTGGGGGCCTCTTGGAGGCCTCTCGGGCCGTCTTGGGGCGATCTTGGGGGCCCCTTGGGCCGTCTGGGAGCGTCGGGAAATTGACAAGGCAAGAACGCCACAAATTTTCAACAAATTGAGGGACATCCGTGATTTTGGCCTCTTCGGGCCTTGTGGGAGGTCTCTTGGAGGCCTCTTGGGGGCCGCTTGGGGCGTCTTGGAGGCCTCTTGGGCGTCTTGGGGCGGTCTTTGGACGTCTCAGAGCCTGCCTGGGCCGCCTTGAGTGCCGCTTGAGGCCCTCTTGGCCCGTCCTGGGGCCCGCTCGGGCCGGACAAAGTCATGCAGGAAGATGCGACGGGGCCTTGGGGGCCTGCGACAAACCCCAGGAGATTTCGAAAATTGAGGCTTGGGCTCCCGAAGCCTTTAGGATCGAGGACTGAGGCACAGAGGGTTGGGCAAAGGACCTGAGGATACGCCCACTCCGTGCCCAACGGCACGGTGGCGGATATTTCTGTATGTGTATCCAGCTGCCTGCGGTAAGTCCCGCCGCCGTGCCAGCCCAGCAGCCTGGGTGGCCCGCCACGCGTGACAACTCGTGTCTCCAGGCTTGGGAGAGCCGTGATGCTGATGCTGCTGCTGATGATAATGATGATGATGATGATGATGATGATGATGATGATGATGATGATGATGATGATGATGCTGACTGTGATGATGATGATGATGATGATGATGATGATGACGATGATGATGATGATGATGATGATGCTGCTCCTTATGAGGATAATGCTGATGACGGTGATGCTGCTGATAATGATGGTGATGATGATGCTGATGATGATGACGCTGCTGATGATGATGGTGATGATGATGATGTTGCTGATGGTGATGATGCTGATGATTGTGATGACGATGATGATGATACTGATACTGATGATGCTGCTACTGATACTGATGATGCTGATGATGCTGCTCACGATGATGATGCTGATGCTGATGCTGATGATGATGATGATGATGATGATGATGATGCTGCTGATGATGATGATGATGATGGTGGTGGCAACGACGGTGATGATGGTAATGATGATCATGATGATGGTGGTGGTGCTGCTGCTGATGATGACGATGATGATATCATGCGGTTGGTGATGATGGTGAGGATGCTAATGATGATAATGATGATGATAATGAGGATAGGGATGATGCTGATGATGCTGTTGTTGATGATGATGACGACGATGATGATGATGATGACGATGATGATGATGATGATGATGAGTATGACGATGCTGATGCTACTGATGATGCTGATGCGACTGCTGATGACGATGATGCTGATGATGATGACGATGATGATGCTGATGATGATGATGCTGATGATTCTGATGATGCTGCTGATGATGATGATAGTGATGATTCTAATGATGATGATGCTGATGCTGCTGATGATGATGCTGCTGATGATGATGATGCTGCTGGTGATGATGATGATGCTGATGATGATGATGCTGATGATGATGAGGATGATGCTGCTGATGATGATGTTGATGATGATGATGACGATGCTGATGATGATGCTGCTGCTGCTGATGATAATGATGACGACGACGACGATGATGATGATGATTGATGATTGATGGTTGATGATTGATGATGATGATGATGATGATGATGATGATGAGGATGATGATGAGGATGATGATGATGATGATGCTGATGATGCTGATGATGCTGATGATGCTGATGATGATTATGATGATGATGATGATGATGATGCTGTTGATGATGATGATGATGGATGATGATGATGATGATGATGATGATGATGATGATGATGATGATGATGATGATGATGATGATGATGATGCTGCTGATGATGATGATGATGATGATGATGATGATGGTGATGATGGTGATGATGATGGCGCGGAGGAGGAGGAGGAAGAGGAGGAGGAGGAGGAGGAGGAGGAGGAGGAGGAGGAGGAGGAGGAGGAGGAGGAGGAGAAACAGAAGCAGGAACAGGTGGAGGGAGGAGGAGAGGAGGAGGAGGAGGAGGAGGAGAGGGGAGGAGGAGCAGGAGCAGGAGCAGGAGCAGGAGAGCAGAGGGAGCGGAGGAGGAGGAGGAGGAGGAGGAGGGAGGGAGGAGGAGGAGGAGGAGGAGGAGGAGGAGGGAGGAGAGGAGGAGGAGGGAGGAGGGAGGAGGAGGAGAGGAGGAGGAGGAGGAGGAGGAGGAGCAGGAATAGGGGGAACATGAAGGCCGTCACACGTGATACCTTCCGCCTGCACTATTTGAGGGCTTCTTGCAGATTTCGTTTTGGCCATCTTGTGGTTGTCTTGGCCTCTTGTAAGGCGGTCTTGAGGCCACTTGGGGCCCTTCTGGGCCATCCGGGGGCCCACTTAGGGCGTCTTGGGGCTCTCTTGGGCCGTCTTTGTCGTCGTCGGCCCGTCTTGGCGCCGTCTTGGGCAGTCCAAGGGCCTTCTAAGGCCGCGTTGGGTCCCACGGGAGGCCCTCGTAGGCCATGTTGGGGGCGTCTTGGGTGTCTCTTGGGCCCTCGTGGGGTCCTCTTGGGCCATCTTTGAACCTCTTGGGGGCCTCTTTGGCAGTCTTGTGGCCATCGTGGAGGCTTTTTGGGCCGTCTTCAGCTGACGGGAGCTAAAGGCGAGAAGTGCGACAAACATGCAAAAGCCCAATGGAAATACATGATTTTGGATTCTTGGGGCTCTGTTTGTTGGAGGTCCTTTGCGGGCCCTCCTGGGCCCTCTTGGAGGCATTTTGGGCCGTCTTGGGGCCATCTTCGGTCGCCTTGGGGCTGTCTTGGCCCATCTTCGCGGCATCTTAGGCTGTCATGGTTTCTTTGGTTGCTTGCCTGACCCGTTTTGGACGCCCTGGGCGCGGACACATCGTCTTTACAAGGGATCGTGGCCTCGCGAGCGCGGATTTTTTTTTTTTTTTTTTTTTTTTTTTTTGTTACGAGGGTCGTGGCCTCGGGAGCAGGGGCGATGCATGCAGCTGGACGCGGCTAGATGGGGGCGGTCCCTGACTAGAGTTTAATAATCCTACCACACAGCACTTGGCATTCTACCACGCCTCAGCGCGCCAGGAGGCAAGGTGGCAGATGTATGCACATCTAATTGTGGGAAGAAAAGGAGGCCCAGAAACCCAGCCCTTCAGTTTCTAACTTGGGCATGAGGCCTGCCAGGCCTCTCCACGGCATCTGAAAACAGCCCCTGGGGGCCTCCAGAGAGGCACGGGAATCCCACAGAGGGCGCGAGTAAATGAAGAGAGGCTCAGAGGACAGCCTCGACGAACGCAAGACGGCTCAAGACAGACTAAACTTGGTACCAGTAGTCCCCCCAGATGGGCTTGTGGGGGCCCTCACAGGACCCCTGGAAGGCCCCCGAGAGGCACAAATCATTGATTTCCGCCTGGCTTTCGATCATTTTTGTGAACTTGCCTTTCCGCTGCGCAGGGCGCCCGAGTCGGCCCAAACAGGCTCTCACTATTTTTGTGAGACAGGCCAACAAGGGCTTCAGGAGGACCTCAAGAGGCGCCCCAGACAGCCCAAGAGGGCCCCAAGACGCCACCAGGGGCCCAGAGGGGATGCAGGCCCTTCGTTTCCATCCTCAGGACTGAGGACGGTGGACTCAAAAGACCTGGGGACACACCAACGCGTACCTTGCGGCGCTGTGGCGGAGACAGCACGCGCACTTCTAATATACTTCCTGTCTCCTTGGCGGCGTGCCCAGCACCGCGCAGCCACCCTGCCTTGTCGTTCTGGCACAGCATCGGACAGCTCCGGGCTGTCGCCGAAGCTCCGCGCAGAGGGTGGCTTGGGCTGCTGCTTCCTCTTGGCCTTCGGCGGACCCGCGCGGGGGGGTGACAGAACACCGGGTGCGCGGCCCGCGCCGGCCGCCGCTTGCGAGGACGAGCACGTGGCGTCGGGCCTCCCCGACTGGTTCCTGAACCTGCAGGCCGCGGCGGGCGGAGGGAGCGGCGCTCAGGCTGGGGCTCGGTGCGAGGGCCCGCTTCTCAGGGGAGGAAAAGGTGGCCGTACCTCTACCCCCTCCTCGTTTCCTCCCGTTTGAGCCTCCTGGGAGGCCCTCGTCGCCACCGCTGGATTCGCCTCGAAATCCTGGTTAGAACGCACCCCGGGAGAGGTCCGGGGAGTAGCGGCATCGGTACCTCTTGGTTTCCCCAATTTCTGCCCGGCGGCGCGCCGAGGGGAGATGGCGCGAGAGGTCCCAGGCACGTTCGCGTCGCAGACAAGATCACGACGGAGGGTGTCCGTCTCCGGCCTCCGGGGGCCCTGGCTGGGCCCCAAGACCATTCCCCAGAGACGATTCAGGATGAAAAACCGGTCCCGGGGGAATGGGTCGGGACCTCGGGGACCCCGTATCGAACAAAGACACGACATCGGAAGTCTGGGGTATCTGTCTTCTGAGCAAGCAGGGGGCAGGGGGCTTCTTAGAATCCCTCCTGCCTCCTTAGGCGGCCTGCTTGCATCCACAAGCCGAGCATTGTTGTCATCGCCGTCACCGTCGGCGCCGCCGTAGCCGTCGTCAGCGTCACCTTCGACGGCGACGGCGGTAGTGACACCAGCGACGGCGACGGAGGCGACGACGCGGGCGGCGACCACGACGGCGGCGGTATTTTGGATTGCCTGTGGTTCTTGCTGAGGATAGCGGGCCCAATTCGACGCTTGGTGTCGTGCCACCTGATCCAGGCGGGGAAGCAACTAGCTTTGGATTCGATTTGCTCGGCTTTTCCTTTGTCGGCGACGAAAAAATGGCCCGAGAATCGGAAAGAAAGTGTCAAATTCAATTTTCTGGTGTCTGATCCAGAGATGGTGGAGTCCACGATCGGCACTTTTACTTTTCGTAGTTGGCCCTTCGGCGTCATCGTCGAAGCCGCGGTCGCCCCCGTCGTCGCGGCCATACCATCATCGTCGTTGTCGTCGTCGTCGTCGCCGTCGTCGTCGCCGTCGCCGTCGTCGTTGTCTTCGTCGTCGTCGTCGTCGTCGTCGTCGTCGTCGTCGTGGTCGGCGGCGTCGTCGTCGTCGTCGGCGTCGTCGGCGTCGTAGTCGTGAATTGTGCGATTTCCTTTATCTCATGGCGGAAGTTTCTCCTTCTATTGGTAACCATGGATCCCATCGCATCCCCACGTGTGTGCAATAGTCTCGTGGGCCCCTTTTCTTCCGTTTGATCGATCCAGTCTGCTTAGCGGGAGCTTCGCGGATCCCATTAGTTTGGTGGAGTTGCAGCCTACTCACAGCCAGTACCTCAGGCTCAACGAAATACGATCCACGGAGCTCTGAATCAACATGTCAGTGCTATGATTCTGCGTGGAAGCGGGGGTGAGGCCCCAGTGGGGCGTCAGGCAGGTGCTGGTCGCGACGGCCGTGGCCGCCGCACATCATGGCAGGGCGTCTTGAAGCCGAGCAGCGGAAAACAATGGGATGGGGGTACTGTGTGTCTCCTCGCTCTCCTTCCTCCTTCCCCCCACCCACGCCGCTGTCGTCGTCTTCGCCGCCAGCGTCACCGTCACCGTCACCGCCGTCGCCGTCGCCGTCGCCGTCGCCGTCGTCGGCGGCGGCGTCGGCGTCGGCGTCGGCGTCGGCATCGGCGTGGGCGTCGGCGTGGGCGTCGGCGTCGGCGTCGGCGTCGGCGTCGGCGTCGTCGACGTTGCCGTCGTCGTCGCCGTCGTCGTCGTGGTCGTCGTCGTCGTCGTCGTCGTCGTCGTCGTCGTCGGCGTCGTCGTCGTCGTCGTCGTCGTCGTCGTCGGAGTCGGCGTCGGCGTCGGCGTCGTCATCGGCGTCGGCGTCGTCATCGGCGTTGGCGTCGTCGTCGGCGTCGGCGTCGGCGTCGGCATCGGCGTCGGCGTCGTCGTCGGCGTCGGCGTCGGCTTCGGCGTCGGCGTCGTCGTTGGCGGCGGTGTCGACGTCACGGCGTCATCTGCGTCATCGGCGTCGTCGGTGTCGTCGTCGTCGTCGTCGTCGTCGTCGTCGTCGTCGGCGTCGGCGTCCTTTGCGTCGCTGTCGTCGCCGTCGCCGTCGCCGTCGCCGTCGCCGTCGTGGTTGCCGTCGTCGTCGTCGTCGTCGTCGTCGTCGTCGTCGTCGTCGTCGTCGTCGTCGTCGTCGTCACTGTTCTTTTTCCTCCCCTTGCCTTCGTGCTCTTTCTGCTGACTCCACCCCTCTTGTCCTAAAGGAAGAGAGCTCCGAACAAGAGGAACATGAGGAGGAGGAGGAGGAGGAGGAGGAGGAGGAGGAGGAGGAGGAGGAGGGAAGAGGAGGAGGAGGAGGAGGACGAGGAGGAGGAGGAGGAGGAGAGAGGAGGAGGAGGAGGAGGAGGTTGAGGAGGAGGAGGGAGGATGAGGAGGAGGAGGAGGAGGAGGAGGAGGAGGAGGAGGAGGACGGGGAGGCGGAGGAGGAGGAGGAGGAGAAGGAGGAAGAGGAGGAGGAGGAAGAGGAGTAGGAGGAGGAGGAGGAGGAGAAGGAGGAGGAGAAATGTTTCGAGGGCTGTCTGGAGGCGCGCGTCAGGTCCATGACCAAATACACTGCGGCATCGACCTCGACATGATCCAGAAGTTCACCCAGGTGTGCAGTCACGCATCCTCCCTCCTCCTCCCTCTTCCTCCTCCCAGGCCCCTCCCCCCTCGCCTACTCCTCCTTCTCCCTCCCCTTCTCGTCGTCGTCCTCCTCTTCTCCTCTTTGTCCTCCTCCGCCTCGTCTTCCTCCTCCTCCTCCTACTCCTCCTTCTCCTCCTCCTCTTCCCTCCCTCGAACTGGGATTGGGATCTGGCCTGGACCGTGCTCGTTCCAGGTCCAAGTCGCTGCCTAGCTCGGCCTGGCTCGATCAGAGTCGAGCCCTCCTTTTGGTCCTCCTGTTCACCTTGGTTCCTGGATCTCTGGGTGCCTCAAAGAATCGCGCCAAAGTTTTTCCGCCTTTTTTGGCGTCCAGGGGTTGCTTCCAGGCACCAGGACAGCCAAACACAGCTCAGGAGGGAAAGTTGTTTTGGGGAGGGGGTCGATAAGGGTTCCGGGTGCCCACGTTGCGACAAAAACGAGTCGTCGCAGTCCTCGGGGAGGGAGGACGAGGAGGGAGATAAGACCAAGGAGGACCCTATGAACACAGAGTACGAGGAGGATGACGAGCAGGAGGAGGAGGAGGAGGAGGAGGAGGAGCCTGGGGAGGAGGACGAGTATGGCGGAAGGGAGGCTGAATAAGAGGATGATGATGTTGATGACGACTATGCCGATGGTGTTGTCGATGACGATGGCAATGACTGTGACGATGGCGATTACGATGACGATGATGCTGCTGCTGCTGCTGATGTTGATGATGATGATGATGATGATGAGGAGGAGCTGGATGAGCGTCAACAGCAAGATGCGGAGGAGGGGTAGTTGGTAGATAAGCACCAGTAATATGACGAGGACAATGATCATGAGCACAAGGCTGAGAAGGGCGGTGTATTATGCTGCTGCTGCTGGTGATGACGACGACGCCGATGACGACGACGATGATAATGCTGCTGCTGATGATGATGATGGCGATGATGATTATGGGGAGGATGCTGCTGCTGCTGATGATGATGATGATGGAATGATGACTGTGAAGATGATGCTGGCGATGACGATGACGATGATGATGATGATGCTGATGATGATGCTGATGATGATGATGAGCATGATGACCATGATGCTGATGTTGATGCTGATGCTGATGCTGCAGATGATGCTGGTGCTGGTGATGATGGTGATGCCGCTGCTGATGCTGAGGCTTATGCTGATACCGCTGATGTTATTGATTCTGCTGATGCTGATGAGTATGTTGTTGATACGGGTGACTATTACGACGAGGAGGATGCGGAAGACGAGGGACATGCTGTCGTCAGGGAGGGACATCCGTGTGACGAGGAGGTGGGTATTGCTACTGGACAGGACATGTAGCACGATAATGTTAGTGATTGTGATGATGCTGCTGCTGATGATGATGATGTTGCTGATGATGCTGCTGCTGATGACGATGATGATGCTAATATTGACTGATGGTGATGATGCTGATGATGACGATGATGATGATTCTGATGCTGATTCTGATGCTGATGCTGCAGATGATGCTGGTGCTGGTGATGATGGTGATGCCGCTGCTGATGCTGAGGCTGATGCTGATACCGCTGATGTTATTGATTATGCTGATGCTGATGCGTATGTGATTGATACGGTTGGCTATTACGACGAGGAGGATACGGAAGACGAGGGACATGCTGTCGTCAGGGAGGGACAGCCGTGCGACCAGGAGGTAGGTATTGCTACTGGACAGGCCATCTAGCACGATAATGTTAGTGATTGCGACGACGATGATGATGATGCTGATGATGATGATGATGATGATGATGATGATGATGCTGATCATGATGATGCTGCTGCTGGTAATGATGATGATGCTGATGATGATGATGATGCTGATGATGATGATGAGGATGCTGCTGATGATGATGATGCTGCTAACAGTGATGCTGGTGATGCTGATGCTGCTGATGATGAGGATGGTGGTGGTGATGGTGGTGCTAGTGATGATTAGGAAGATGCATACGGTGAAGGTGGTGGTGACTCAGAGGATGATAGTGGTTTGTAATGACGAAACGCGAGCCACTGGCATTTCCGTCATGCTAAAAGGGTGTGTTTGCAGATGGACTCTTCCTCCCTTCCCTCAGTCAAGGGGGGTCTGATTTCCCCCTCCCCCGATCTTTGCAAATGGGGGGCTCACCCCCTTTGCGCCAGCGAGGGGTGGGAGGGAGGGGTCTACCCCCCTTGGTCCCCACTGTCGACAGACGGGATGGAGGGGTTCAGGGCCAGGATTGCGATTGAGATTGCGCCTGTTCAGGACTTAGGGTCAGCATTGCGATTTAGGTAGAGGGATCGTGTTGGGATTCGGATTAGATTGTGAGCGTTGGGATGTTTCAGAAAGGAGGTAGTGTGCTAAGGTCAGTGTGTAGGGCCAGGGGTATTTCGGGTCAGGGTCGGATGGTAGGGTTTGGTCACGGTGCTAGGCCTAGGGTGTTAGGCTTTATGGGCTAGGGTAATGGAGCCAGAGTCAGGGTAGGCCTCCAGCTGCCTGCGACGCGTCCTGCCGCCGTGCTGGCACAACACTCTGTTTGGCGGCGTTGCGAGCACCGCGCAGAAGGCCGTAACATGTGGCACCATGATGGCGCTCTCATGGATGCTGGCTAAGCCGTCTTTGGGGCTGCCTTGTGGTTTGGCGGGGCTCTCTTGGGCCGTCGTTGTACTGTCTTGGGCCGTTTTGGGTTCCCCCTTGGCCGTCTGGGCAGTCTCTTGGGTCTGTCCTCGGCGCCTCTTGGGGCTGTCTTGGGTGCCTCGTGGGGTCCTGTTGGGCCTGGGACCCCCCTATATATACTTTTCGTCAGCGTGGAACAGTCAGAGGACCTCCTCCTCTCCCCCAGCCATCTTCTCGTCTTCCTCCTCCCGCCCCCCTCCCCCTCCCTCCGACCTCCTCCAGACCTCGAGCACTGGCCGCCTGCTGACGTGCGACCTGAACAAGAGGGAGAACCCGAGGGTGTTGTCGCGCAGCGGCAGCAGGCTCCCCCCTTTTTCCCTCCTTCTCCCGCGTCCTCCTCTTCTTGCTCGCGCCGCGTCCCTCCCCTCGAGGAGCGCGATTGTGGGGTGTTCGATCGGAAAGTCATTTGTTTTTTTGTTTGGTTGTTTGCTTGTCTGTTTGTTTTTTAGATGATAAATGTAGTGGGTGTTTGTTCGAGTGTCTGGATGCGTGCATGTTTTTGTTTGTGGTTCGTTGCATTCGCCGTTGTTTTTTTTACGCTTGTTTTGTTTTGTTTGTTTTGCTGGTGATTGGTTTGCCGTGATGTTGCTGTTGTTGTTGCTGCTGCTGTTGCTGTTGCTGATGCTGTTGCTGTTGCTGTTGCTGCTGATGTTGTTGTGCTGCTGCTGCTGCTGCTGCTGTTGTTGTTGTTGTTGTTGTTGTTGTTGTTGGTGGTGGTGGTGGTGGTGTTGTTGTTGTTGTTGTTGTTGCTGCTGCTGCTGCTGCTGTTGTTGTTGTTGTTGTTGTTGTTGTTGTTGTTGTTGTTGTTGTTATTATTATTATTGTTGTTTTTGTGTGCTGTTGTTGTTGAACACTCATTTCTGAATAATGATTACTGTTGATCCCCCCTCACCGGTGCGTATTGTTTTCTGCTCAAGTAAAGTGTGCCCCTCGACGCTCGCAGCCCGTTTTTTGACAGGGAAAGTCTTGGTGCTCAAACTGGGCCCCTGGCCCCCCGGATTACAACATCAACAGCTACCGCCTGAGACTTCCTTCAAATTTACTCAGTACCCCCGCTCCTGAGACTTCCTCACAATTTACTCAGGATCGGTGCTCCCGCCTGTGACTTCCTTGCAATTTAGTCATGACCCCCGATCCCATCTGAGACTTCCTCGCAATTTACTCAGGAACGGCGCTCCCGCTTGAGATTTCCTTAAATCAAGACTTCTTCGCAATTTCATCAAGACCCCCGCTCCCGCCAGAGAACCCTTCACATTTTATTTAGGAATTGCGCTCTCGCCTGTGACTTCCATGCAATTTGTTCAGAAATCGCGCTTTCGACGCTCAGGAAAAACCCTGCGCCAAGCACGCCGTTACAAATTACTTAGTAATCGCGCTCTCGCTATACTCAGGCATCCCGCTTGAATGTCCCACCCGCCCGACCCGCCCGTCAGGGGATCGCCCGCCCGTCGTGGGCTCCCGCCCGAGACTTCCTCCAGGAACGGCGCTTTCGCCTAGGACTTCCTCGAACGTTCACGCTCTTACCTTTCTGCTCCTCCTCCCTCTCCCTCCTCCCTCCTCCTCTCCTCCCTTCTCTCTCCCTCCTCTCTTCCCTCATCCTTATGCCTCTCTGCCCTATCCCCTCTCCCTCCTCTCCCTCCTCTCTTCTCCCTCCCCTCTCCTGCCTCCCTCCCTCTTTCTTTCTCTCTCTCTCTCTCTTTCCCTTCTCTCTCTCTCTTTCTCTACTTTTTTTTTTTTTTCCTATCTCTCTCTCTCTCTGCCTCTAATCAACCGCCCCCCTCTTCGCTCCTTCTCTCTTGGCATTTTCCCTCTTCCTTCGTCCCTCTCCCTCCCTTCCTCCCACTCCCCCTCGTTCTCCCCCTCCTCTTTTTGCAGGGCCCACGCCAATTCCAATGCCGGGCACATGTACGCCCACGAAGGAGTGTCCGCCCGTTCAGGTTTGCCCGCCTGTCTAAGCCCGCCGCCCCCCGCAAAGAGAAATAATCCCCCTAAAGGGGGTGTGATGTCGAAAACAAAAAGGGCGGGTATCGAGGGTGTGGATAACTTGTTTTGAATGACACGCGGGCAAGTAAGAGCGAACAATCTTGTACATAGTGTTGTTGTTGTTGCTGTTGTTGTTGTTGTTGTTGTTGTTGTCATTGTTGTTGTTGTTGCTGCTGTTGTTGTTATTATGATTGTGTGTTTTCGTTGTTGTGGTTGTTGTTGTCGTCTTTATTGTTGTTAATGTTGGTATTATGGTTGTTGTTGCTGCTGTTGGTGTTGTTGTCGTTGTTGTGATTGTTGTTGTTGTTGTTGTTGTTGTTGTTGTTGTTGTTGTTGTTGTTGTTGTCGTCGTCGTCGTCGTCGTCGTCGTCGTCGTCGTCGTCGTCGTCGTCGTCGTTTTTGTTGTTGTGTTTGTGTTTGTGTTGGTGCTGTGCTGTGCTGTGTTGTGTCGTGTCGTTTTGTGTTGCTGTTATCTGGTATATATGCTAGTTTTTTTGTATCAGCGTTTCGCTAGAGGGTCCGAATAGAGGTCAAACGTTTCTTTTCACCAGGACCTCCACGGGGGGCTGGGGGGAGGCGTCTCCCAGGCCCGGCGGCGGTCCGGCAGCGCTCTCTATGGTTCTCTGGCTCGGTGCGGTCCGGAAGTGCGATTCCCTCTGGTGTCTCTGCTGGCCCAGAATCTGCAGGCAGCGCTCTCACTATGGTATTTTGGTTCGATTTGGTCCAGAAAGGCGCTGGCGGCCCGAAATCCTGCCAGCAGCGATGCGTGTGGTGTTCCAGCTCGAGTTTGTCCAGGAGCCCGATGCAAGTCTAGTAATTTAATGTGTGCTTACCCAAGCAAAGCACCCTAATAGTAGCTAAGGTGAGGAGGGGATGATGGACCTGCGCGCCTGCGGGCATGTGCGACCGAGATCGCGCGATGGATGTCACGGCCAGCACGGTCGTCACGTTGGGCTCCCAAGTCCGAGGAACAACAGAGTCGTCCTCCAGGAAGTTCTGTTTCCACTTTGAAGCCCGAGCGTGGATGGCGACCGGCATGAGTTTCAAGACCCAACAAGAGTGCTGGCGAACGGATTGCCTGTTCGCAACAAAGGTGCTCCTGCGGGTGGAGCTCAACATCCGCGACCTCCACAGGGGTGCCGCATGCAACTCGAGGCGGCAAGTAAGACATTGTAAGTGCCATCTCCACGCCCGCGTACGCAGGTTGGACGCCGGAGAGCTTGTCGGTCGCACCGATTTTGGCGCAGACGCGCATGTCGACGTAGCCCTTCTGGGTGCGCCCAGCGGAAGACCTGTCGATCGTTGGAAAGCACAAGAGGGCTCTGCGCGCGTGCTCCGGGTTCAGACGCGCGTGGGCGTGCATGGCCAACGACGCCCTGCGAGATGTGTGGGGGCACTCGAACCAGCCCCGCGCGTCACTGAGTCGAGGATCATCTTTGTGGCAGGCTGTGACTTTCAGCTTGGTCCAGACGTCGTCTCTGATGTTTCGCTCACGGCGTTTCGCTAGAGGGTCCAGCAGATTTCACATATTCATGTCGCAAGAATTTCCTAATAGCGTTTCGCTAGAGGATTCTAACACAGTTTAAGCATTGCCTCTCGCCACAATCTCAATTGGGGGGGGGCCGGTGCGGCGTGTCTCGCCGGTCCGGCTGCGCGTGGTGGCAGCGCTCGCTATGGTGTTCTGGCTCGATTCGGTCCAGAAATGCGACTCACTATGATGTTCTGGCTCGGTTCCGGCCCTCGCAGTATGTGTTTTCACGTGTCCAGGCCTCCCAGGGATGGGAGTCTTGGAGGCCTCTTGGGACGATCTTGGGTGCCATGGTTCAATAAGGGGTGGGCGACTTATTGAGCCCCCCCCCATCGGAAGCTCACAAATGACCTCTTCGAACACATATGTAACAGCCGATCCTGAGCATGTTCAGCGGTCGTCTTTGGATGGACAGCTGTTGGGAACCAAATCCGACCCCAGGTGCGCGACGCGTGCCAGGGGCGCCACGCGCCCCAGGCACCCCTTGGGCCCGAGCGTGCCAGGCACGCCTGGTGCGCCAAAGGTGCCACGTGGTCCGAGTGCGCAAGGTGTGCCGCACACACCAGCTGCGCCAGGTGCGCCACGTTCGGGGCGCGTGCAGAGTGCGCCAGGTGCGCCTGCGCACGTGACAGCACATATCGGGAAACATGTCGGCCCTCGCCGTCCTTATCGAAAACCAACGCCCATCATTGTGTTTGGTGGGCCTGTGCACAGCAGGCCACGCGTCACCACCCCCGCCGTCCCTGTCAAAAACCACTTGATAGTAATCGCGGGATGGCCGCGCACGATCCAGATTTAGCCACGAGGTGCATGTTGTTTTGTTTTTGTGTCATGGATGCTAGCCCTGCGCGCAGCAGGGGATATGCTGACACCCCCGCCGTCCCCGTCAAAAACAATACAAAATGCCCGTGGGCCTCACGAACATGATTCAAAACTTTGCCTCACAGTGTACTTTGTATTGTTTCCTGAGAGGGATGGGAGAGGGCCGCATCGGGTTGGCCGCGCATGCTCCAAATGTGGTGGCAGAGTGCGGTTTATATCGTTTTTTGACAAGGATGGTGGGGGATGGGCCCGCATGGAGTCGGCATGGTTCCAGGTTGGCCGCCGGCCGGGAGGGGGTGGGGTTGTATATCAATAAGGGGCAGTGATCAACCCTTCCCCGAACAGGGGAAGGAAAGATGTTGGCAGATAGAGGACAACATTTGTTAAACCACCTACGCGCAGAGGGCTGGTGGGACTGTGTTCTGGCTCGCTTCATCCTTCGCAGATCCAGACATGGGACTCACTATGTGTTCTGGCTCGACTTGGTTCTGAAATGCGGCACTATGGCATCTTATCATAATTACATTTTTTTTTTTTTTTTTTGTTTCTCTCTCTCTCTGGGTTTTTAATCCGATGTGTTCAACGTGTGTTCGTATCGATAGCCCCTCTCCTGTGGCTCGACTCGCGGGTGTTTTACGTGCGCTCCTACAGGTTGCACCTTCCCTTGGGGTTCGAATCAAATGTGTTTCGCGTGTATTCCTATATCGTCCCTGTCCTGCTGCTCGGGTCCTACGTGTTGTACATCATTTCCTATAGAAACCTTTTCCTGTGGCTCGACTCCTGCGTGTTTTACGCCTGTTCCTATAGGTTGCCCCTTTCCGAAGGGTCTACCATGTGTTTTACGCATGTGCTTATGTATTGTTCTCTCCTGTGGTTCGATTCCTATGTTTTTTGCGTATGTTCCTGTAGATTGTGCCTGTCCAGTATTTCGGATCCGATGTGTTTTGCGTATGTGCCCATCTACTGCACATTTCCTGTGGCTCGAACCTTATGTGTTTTACGTATGTGCCTATATATTGCCTCTTTCCTGTGGCTCGAATCTGGTGTGTTTTGCGTTTGCCCTTTTGGTTGCACTTTCGAATCGGATTTGTTTTGCGTATGTTCCTGTAGATTTCCTTTTCCTGGGGCTCGAATCAGAAGTGTTTTACAAACGTTCCCACGTATTGTTCTCCTCCAGTGGCTCGAATTCTATGCGTGTTGCGTCAGTGTCTATATATCGTTTCGATTCCAGTGTGTTTTACGCCTCTTCCTATACGTTGCCCCTTCCCTGGGGTTTGAGTCCTGTGTGTTTTGCGTATGTGCCTACATATATATATATTGCTTTTCTCCTGGCGCTCGAAGCCCATGTGTCTTGAGTATGTGTCTATGGATTGCCCCTCCACTGTGGCTCGAGTCCTATGTGTGTTTACGTATGTGCCTTTCGACTGCACCTCTCCTGTGGGTCGAATCCGAGGTGTTTTACGTATGTGTCTATAGCTCGCCCGCTTCCTGTGACTCGAACCCTATGGGTTTGACGTATGTGCCCATGCATTGCCCTTTTTCTGTGGCCCGGATCCTATGTGTTTTACGTAAGTGCTCATGGGTTGCTCTTCTTCTAGGGCGCGAATCCTATGTGTGTTACGTTTGTGTGGCTCGAATCCTGTGTGTTTACGTTTGTGCCCATGATTCGCCTCTCTCCGTTGCCTCGAATATTATGTGTTGCGCGTATGTGCTTTTCGATTGCCTCGTCCTGTGGCTTGACTGACGTGTCTTACGTACGTGCCTACATATTGGCCTCTCCTGTGACTCGAATCCGATGTGTTTTTAGGTATGTGCCTATAGCTTTCCCTTATCCTGGGGCTCAATTCTTGTGTGTGTGTGTGTGTGTGTTTCAGTATGTGGTTATGTATTGCCCTTCTCCTGTGGCTCACGTCCTATTTGTTTTACGTATGTGCCTATGTATTGCCCCTTCCTCGTGGTTCGAAACCTGTGTGTTTTACGTATGTGACTGGATTGCCCTTCTCTTGTGGCTCAAGTCTTACTTGTTTTACGTATGTGCCTATTTGCCCCTTCCCCGTGGTTCGAAACCTGTGTGCGCTTTACGTATGTGCCCATGGCTTGGCCCTCTCCTTCTCCTGGGACCTGCTGCCAGGCGAATCGGCGCAAGTGGCCGTCGAGAGGCTGCAGAATGAGGCAGGCTCCATGCTCGCGGCAGCATGGCACTCGCACTGCCGAAGCATCGAGCGGAACCATCGAGCGGAACCAGGACCGCCGCCCAGCCGTGAACTCGCCCCTGGACCCCCTCGACGCCGATCCCCGGAGGCCGCCGCGAACCTCTTGGCTCGGGGCCTGGCCGAGGCAGCCCGCGACGTCGCCGAGTGGCCTCCGCAGCAGGACCTGCGGGTCGACCGGGAGGGCGCCCGAGGAGCCCTTCTCGGGCGGGTGGCGACGGGGGGGCGGCCCGCACGGGGGCCTGCAGGGGGCCGCCCTTGCGGGCCCCTGCCTTGGGGGCGCCGGCCGGCTCCCAGAGGGGACCCCGCAGAGGCCCATCCATGCGGGACCCTTTTCTTGGCCCCCCACGTGGGTCACCCCGCGCTGCGGCCCAAGGGGTCCATGAGGGGCCCTTCTCTTGACCCCCCAGGTGAGTCACCCCCCGATATCACCGCCCGAGCTTCGGAGGACGAGGCTGGGCTTGACTTGGGCGTGTCCCTCTACAGGAGAAGTACTCAAAAATAGTACAACAACATTGTGAGGGGACGATTTGTGTTTGACTATTTTTGATCATTTTTGGAATATGTCTGGAGTATTTTGCATTCTCTTTCCAAAGTCAGCCTCCAGGGCGCCATGCCCGACCTAAGGCTAGGCAGGAAGGGGGCGCAGCCGAGAAGGGCCCAGGCAGGAGCGCGACCTGGGGCAGCTCAGGCACCGCCCCTGGCGCAGCGCGACCACTGGGGACCACAACAAGAGAGCCCGCCGAGGATCGATAAGTTTGAGTCGGGCATGTCCCTCTACAGGAGGAATGTTCAACAATAAGGAAAAATGATATGTTTTTTTTTGGGGGGGGAATGTTTGAATATTTTTGGGAATTTTCAAATCATTTTTCCTTCAAAATCTGCCTGTAGGAGGACAAGCCCGACCTAAGCCATGGGTTCCCCGCGCCCCAGCGCTCACCCAGATTGCCTGGTTCTGAGCCCCTGGCGTGTGGTCGCTCGCGTTCTCCTCCTTCGCCGAGGCGTTCGGGCTCTTCGCCCCCCCCCCCCCCCCTGATTGCCTGGCTGCCCGGCTTCTCGCACGGCGAGTGGGCTTTTCGCCTGCCTCTCTTTTCTTTTCTGCCTCTCCCCTGGCGTGTGGGCTTTTCGCCCTTTCTCCCCCCCCCCGCCTCTCTCCCTCCCCCCGGCCGCGCCGCCACGGCGCCGCCCCCTCC